CGTTTTCAGGAGATTGGAGAAGGATGTCTTGGATCCAATGGCTTTTTGGGTCAGGAACGCTTGCACCTTGGCGGTTGAGGTCTCAGTAAGCGGAGGAAGTACGGAGAAAAATAGCTGCCCAGATTGTTCAAGGTCGGGGCAGCAGCGGGCCGAGCAGAATCGCCGCTTCAGGACATGGTACGGTACCTTCAAGGTACGTATTCGGCACCGTCGGCAGCTGCCGTTTGCCGGCCCGGCCTACGTATCTACGGTGTCCATGGTGAGTCAAGGTGAAGACGGTGACTAGGAAGGTGAGGTAGGTGCTGATGCACACATCTTCATTACGATTTGCAACGTAACGCCTGCAACTACATTCGCATTATCGGCAGCTCTGCCCAGTCCGCGCTGCCGGGCCAATCTCTGTTACACCAACACATTTCTGACTCAATCCAACCCATCCATGCCCGCATCAAAAAGCCTCAATCACCTTTTGGCTAGGTGGTCTCACTACCCGATCTTCGGGAATGAGATAGTCAACTCCCAGGACAACGGCTAATCGCCAGATACGATTTTCTTCTTGGCGTGGCGTTAACCGAGATGGCACACCCAAAATGTCTCCCTACCATCACGGGACAGTGGCATCCTTCTATCGAGAAAACAGCACAATCCGTCCTACCTCGCCTCCAGAGAAAGCCAATAGAGCCTCCATCCCGGGCTAGGCATGCTCTACGGCACCACCGTTTCGGACCGTTTTCTCGTACCAAAGCCCTATCGCAACCAGCGCCGGTGTCCCCGTGCAACCGGCAGAGTACGACTGGCCTTTTCTCTCGATGCGCTTGTCTGGCCGACCAGGCCACCGATGGCCCGATGGATAGCAGCACCAACGGCGTTGATGATGGCAATCCTGTCCCGGAGGAGCAACACGAACATCGAAACAAGGACGTCGTCCGTTAGGCGGCAAGGGGTATCGTTGACAGGCCCGGCAAGCCTGGCAGTGAACCCGGACGCCTTCTTCCCTAGGCCAATCTAGCTAGGCATGCAGCAAATATCCCGCCATTGCAGAGAGGTGTCTTGGTACTTGGCCTTCTTCTGCAGGCGACTGGGCAGGCTGTGCCGAATTGCATCGGACTCCCTTAGTCGTGCAAGCCTGGCATAAGGCACGAATTAGACTGCGGACAACAACTGACGGTGCGGAACCCGGCCGGCTCCTCGCCCAGATCCAGAAGCAGCTGATTCATGGCGAGTCTGGATTGTGGCATATGCACGCAGATCATGGCACCGCTCATCCACGACTTTCCTGACGTGCCATAATAAGCCTGGCACCCTGGTGCACTAGGGGGCCTGACACACCCCGCCAAGTGTCAATCCTGCAGACATCACCCCACCACCTCTCATGGCGGGAACTAGGACCCCAGCCCTGAGAAGATGAGAACAAAGTGGACGGGAGCTGGAGCTGGAGCTGGAGCTGGAGCTCGGTGCTTGGTGTGCTTGGTGCCACTTCCGCAGAAACAACGCGTCGGCTTGAATCGCCTTTGATATCATCTTTCTGGGAAATACTCGCTCGGATTGTTTTTCCCCTCAGCATCAGCGTTTCTTCTGCCCGTCGCAAGCATCCTGCCTTCAGAGGCCATGCCATCGGCCAGATGTCGACTGATCTTCCGTATCTTGTGTCTTGAGAGGCTCAGTGTAACTGCAGCGGCAACCGGCAAGTCAACTAACTGGTGAGACCTCGCCGATGGAGGGGTAACCTCTTGGCGAAACACTGCTAGATGAGGGGAAAGCCCAAACTGCGCGTTGGGAGGAATGTTCACGGAATGCCGTTGGGTTCCAAGTCATCCGGTGTTCCGCATGAAGTCAAGACTTGTGTCAACTAACAACGCCGGCTATCCGCTTGAGACGACGATCCGCAACAACATACACTTATCATTATGATAGGATACTCAAACCCGCGGGCGATGAATAGGCTCGTCTTTCAGCGGATGCAGCTTTCCTCGCTGTACAACGTATTCACATTGCTTTGTGTGACAGCCCTCGGCATAGTCAAAGGCCGATTGGACCAGACAAGGGGCCAAAACGTGACAATGCACGCACCATGGTCTCGAGGCTCTGCAAATTGAGCAATTTGGGGATCTGGCAGATGTTCAAAGACAAGACATCTGCGACAAGTTTACCACCATCAGACGCTAACCTTCTTGACTTGGAGAGTTGGATTTCCGACTGTCATCTGAATCACCCCAGCTTATCCTGAGTTAGGTATGAAATGTCTCATTGCCTCGATGTTTGCGCAACCTTGAGACTCTCCATGCCTTCCTTCTTCATCGCAATCTCGGACTGGAAACAGGTTCCGATTTCCTTGGATCTCGATGAGCGAGACCCCTTGCGAGACGTTGTTCAGCGCAGTGGGCGGTGGGGTTTTTGCATTCTCATGTCCTGATCTGATAATTAATGGGTACGAGGATTCTGACAGCTGCGCTCCGCGCTGTGCCGCATGTACTTCGTATGCGGGTCACCAAGTCGGGTCCTCCGAGCCGACTGGGGGCTGCTGTCCTGCGGCTGCGGCGGGGTTGGCGGGGGATCAGCCGCCGACACGCGGGAACTAACCGTTTACCAGCAGCACTCAGGGGCAGGTGGCAGTTGCAAAGAGCTTGGTTAAGCTGCCTAATAGTTGACGTCGATCTGGCTTTTCACTTGGCGCAGAGTCACTGCTCTTGTGCTTGGTCGCAAGTCAGGAGGTCAGCATCTAGATGTGCCGAGTTACTTCCTCAACAGGGACATGCGTGATTTATAGGAAATATTGGCTGCATTTAAGGCAAATTACCATATTGATATGATATTCTTAGTTGGCCCTAGAAGTTGGGGTTCATAAAGCGTGGCCTTGATCCTCGTCACTTACGTCCCATCTCAGTGACACTTGACTTACGATGACATCCAATCCCGGACCCCATTCTGGTCTGATATCAACCTGACAGCTCAAAGACAATATCCCCATGCGAAATTACGACCCTGAAAAAGTTCATTGTTCCATAATGCGAGATCCCCAATTGTAAACTTTCGTTCACCTCCAATGGATGACGAATAGCAAAATCCATCCCCCGCACCGACGGACTGAACTCTCTCGACAACCACTTCACTGCCTCCTCCATATGCCCATTTACCCGAAAGTGAGACCGCGCAAACTCATTTGATTGACTTAGCTCACGAACTGTCCGAGCGGAAAGCCCGTGACCACCTTTAACAAGAGAACAGCCAAATAAAAAGGAGAGTCGACACACTTGGACATCACGGTGGCCTGACGTCACGCCGCCCCCCTCGCATTCTCTGGTCTCCAATAGTTTGGTTCCTACGAAAAAGAAAGATAAATAGAGGGGGAGAATAGGATTCATTTATGTATATACTTTGCTCCGTCCGCTGTCAGATTGCGACGAACGATAAAATGTGTTTGTCCAACCTCCTCTTTCTCGACTAACTGTCGGAAACCGCCTCGTGAGTATTCTCTTACTACGGACATCACCGCTCCCCTCCATTTCATCCACAAGAGTAGGCGAGTGAACATTCAGGTTGATTGTGAGATTACACATAGAAGAAAAGAAAAGATTCCCAAACCCTTGTAATGGCATTCTACCCGAGTCACAAACCTCAAACCCCACAACCTCCTGCGCCTATCCCTATCAAGGACGACGACGACGACCAGGGCGATGTGATGAGAGACTACTAAGATCGAAGACGTCAACGTAAGGGAAACGACAGGAGACTGGGTTTGATGGAAGTTAAATGGGCTTCAGCCGGCACACAACATCCCAAGGAGCGGGAGGAACTTCGAGACTGTGATGAGATTTTAGGTATACGCGAGCTGAGAAGAGAGGGCAAAAAGAGGCAGGATATGGATGTGACCACCGAGACTGCAAACTTGTACGATATCATGCAATTCGAACTATTTTCGGATTGACAATTTACTTGCCAAGTCCCTCGTCACGCAAAGAAATCTCCCAAGTAGGCCGGCAGTCCTCTTCACTTGTGCAGACTTCCCCATCTCGTATCGTGTTCCCTCGCTGCAAGTCTGCTCTCCCGTCCCAGCTACCCGGGTGTCCCAGCCAGCGCCGCCATTCCGGGGTTCCAGACCTCATCAGACCACGCCTCTTCCCCTCCCCCTACCGGTAGCTCTCCCCACGGGGTACAAACGCCTACACCTATGCATCTTGACGTGATGATTGCATCTAGCGGGCATGGCTAGCCGGCTCTCCTACTTACCATACTTACCCCGCCCTTTTCTTCCGTCTCCCTTGGACGATCCTTCGCGTTCTGTCTTGATTCATGTACTCCTGGTTCTTCTGACTCACCTGGATCTCGCAGGGCAGTATCTCAGTTATCACGCCAACGCGCATATGTATCCGATCTCTCTGATATCTTATAGAAAGAGGGAGAAGACACGACTCCTATCTCGCAGAAAGCTTGGAGGTGGCTGATAGATCTTGCATAGTGTCCCATCTCATCCTGGTTCCTTGGATCTTGTAGTAAGCGGGACCGATGCTAATGTTGGAGACATCAGGTGATGCCTACTTACACGTAGGGCTGAGAGCCAAACAAGAATTGCTGTCATTTACATATCCGCAGAGTGAAGGATAGACTGGGAGAAGGCAGTCTTTTCTAGATGCAAAGCTCAAAGTCAAGCATGATCAGACAACTTGGGAATTCATTGCATTACAGCGCAGGCTGAGCAGAGACTGGGTCTTCCCCTTATATCCGAACTCCAAACAGTAGCTAACGAATTACTTTGAGAACGTGGGAGACGGGAAGCCGCCACAACATCACGGCCATCACAACTCTGAGCATTACAACTCTGAGAACTATATAGACCCTCCTCCCAAACCTCTCATCGTAGTCATAGTCAACTTACCACAACCACTAGACGCCTCCTCGTTCTCGTCTCCCAAACAACCCCCCCCCCCCCAAGCCTCTCCTGCGTGGAAACTGTTCAAATCTTCTATACGGAGCCAAAAAGATCCAGCAACGGCAAAATGGAATGCCCCCTCACGGGATTGAACCGTGGACCTTCGCATATCAAGCGTACGCGTGCGACGCTCTACCACTGAGCTAAAGGGGCGGGGCGGAGTCGATATCGTCGTCCTGGTCGGGTCGGCGAGCGAGACATCTCCACACCGATGCCGACATGCTGTTTGGCGATATCACGGATGACTGTTGAGGAAAGACAGACAGCGAATACAAAGGACGAAAAGAAGCAAGACGGGAATGCAAATGGGGAGAAGTGTGACGTCTAACTCGTTTCTATCATTACGCAAGAGGGTATTGGCGGTTGTTTCCCAGTCAAAAATGATCATGCCTCTACCAAAGCCATGCACGCTCGTGCCTTTATAACTTGAACCCCGGTGAGCTATCTACGTAGCCCAAAAGCGTCTTCTTCACCTTCCATTTGACAAAGTCCAAAGCCGATCTCTCAATAAGTTGATGCGAATCACTGTGTCGCCATTGTATCGTTGAATCGTGGTTCAGTCAAGCTGGAAACGTAGTTTGGATGGGCGTGTTGACAGCGGACGTGATGCCCTCTGAAAGTTCGGCGGACTCCTCTTCACTAGAGACAGTTAGTGGAAAGTTAATAGTGCCTTGAATCAAACCCTGACTTACTTGCACTTCGTCTCCTTAATGCGTGACCCCTTTCCTCTTTCGGTTCCTCACCTGCCGCGTCTGCTTCTTTGGTGTAACTTCCGAATAGGTTGAGAATGACATTCTTCGGCAGGGCGTTCTACTCCTTCAGTGACAAAATGCCTGTGCCCTGCGGCCACTTGTTCTCCACGTCAATGAGTTCGATATCCCCATCAGCATCTCGATCCCCATCCTTGGCAACACAGTCAGGTTTTGCTTGCTGGCGTTTAGGGACTTTGACCAAATCGCCTTCTTTGCCATCTTCCACGTAACAGAGGTAGTAAGGATCACCGTTGCTGTTGAGAGTCTTCATGACCTCCTTCGTGTCGGGGTTTTCTGTGACGACCCTGTCATTGTATTTGCGCCAGACTCCGGCCTCAAAATCGTGGATCCAGACCCAATAATGACCAGCTCTGAGCTGACCACTGTGGCAGATCACTGCATGCAAACGATAGGCATGCTTCTTGTGTTGAGCGAATAGCTGGTCAAGCTCCGCTTTATGGGACTTCAGTTCATCTTCGCGCATGTTGCTGATCTGCTGGCGTCCTTCCACCGTAAAGCCTGTAGGCTCAGGCGGGTCCACCTTTTCATATGTTGCCTCAGACTTTGAAGGGTAGGTAGGGAATGCCGGCTCTTGCCCCGCAAAGCTGAGGGATGATGTGGGCATGTCGTTGAGAAGTGACGAGGTCTCCTCAGTATCAGGCTTGTCGACGTGTACAAAGTCACTGATGAAACTGTCGATGAGTTGAGTATCCTCGGCCGCAGTTTTGGGCATGTTATTCAGCTGGTCTAAGCGCTGTTGAAGAGCCCAGCCTTTCTGCCGCAACTTGAAGAACTGAGGGTCGTCCGGGGTATCCATATACCGGTCAAGATACAATGTCTCGAATACCTCAACCGGGTTCATGTTCTTGTGACCATCACCTTTCGTTCTCTGGATAAGGACATGTAAGATTGGAGGAAGCTTCTTGATCGACGTGTATCGCATAATATCTGCTTCTCCGGCAGCGACTCGTTGGAGATCAAAATTGCGACTTAGGCCATCATGAATGTTTGTCGGCCCGCCTTCAGCAGGATATGCCGTGATGGCACGCTCCAGAGTTGAGTCTGATTTGTACTTGTCCTGATTGGGGAACTTCGTGTGATTGGTCAACTCAACATAGAACGTGTCCATGATCGGCTCCCACTGGACCTCATCGGTGGCATCTACCCTTGTAGGCTTGATGGCAGCCTGCAGACGGTTGATGATGCTGCCCATGACCTCTTCAACGTCTTGTTGATCTGTACCTGAGTCTCTGGTCTGTGTTTCCAGAGCCTTCAGTACTCGTTGTTCCACGTTAAGAACGGCTGTCTCGACCCCTGTCATTTTGACATCGTTATCGTTGGCGGATCGGGTAGAAGACTCCTCAACTGGCTGAGAAACAATTCTGATGTCGGTCTTGTCTTCGGGCACGTAATCCTTCTTCTCGTGGTCAACATCGGAAAGGTTGACCAAAGTCTGCGAGCTTACGCTGCTAGCAGACTCAGAGATTGGGTCCACTGTGACATTGACCATGTCGACATCCTCGACGTGTTCTGCCGTATGTGTAGGAGGCCCCGGAGCAGGCCTTGCAGGGAGTGGCGGAGGGGCGGGAAATTGGGTGCCCATGACCTCCAGAGTCTTCGGCTCCTCCGCAGTCTTGCTCGGTTGCTTCGCAGGATCTTCGGTCAAGTTCGAGGTCGGCAGCAGGACGGCATTGGCGAGACGTTGAGACGGCCGGATAGCACTAGCCTGAGAGCCACTCAGATTATCCAAGAGTTTGCTCAATTCATCGACGACTATTTATTATTAGCAATGGCTCCCCGTACCTTTGATGGTAGATAAGCACTTACAGGCGCGGGCAACAACAGCCTCGGCACGATCGATCTTGAGCTTGTTGCCGCCGACAAGCCGGCGTTGGATATGCGAATCATCCAGACCTAGCTCATAATCTGGGTAATGGGCAAGCAAGTCTTTGATAGGAATGACGGTGTTGAGATACTGAAGAATGCTGTTCAGGTAGCAAGTGTTGCCGATGTTCTCGAGCCCGACAGGTAAGTTAGCTGCATTGGAAGGTCTGGCGTCCATCTCCGCAGATTGCGCGGACTGGTCCGGGGCTTGAGCCAAAAGAGATAAAGTCCTTGCTGCTTCGCGGATTTCGTCGCTATTCCTATCCTCGGCGATAGCTTCCATCGCTTTGATCGCGACTTCCTCTGTAGCTTTGCTTTTCGGATCCTTGTTCAGCTAGAGGGATTGTTAGCTAGAGTAGAAAGTCGCAGTTTCAAGTATACAACTCACCTTGACACTGGACATCATCACAATGGTGCTGTCAGGCCATTGAGGATCTACCTCAAGAATGCGATAGGCTGAAGCGACGTCCATCGGGCCATTTGCATGGGTAAGAATGCGATCGCTGTTTCTATGGCGCCCAATGATCTGTAGCATTTCTCGAGCAGAATCAGCTTGAGAGGGCGAGTGTTCGATCTTAGTGTTGAAGGCAGAAACGACATTATCGTCGCTGGCGGTGTATTTTAGGCTGAAAAATGTGTACGCCTGTGTTTGCAACTCGTCGCCTGCGCCAACGCCATCTGGGGCGGGCATACCGTCCATAATGGTGAGCTCTTGGATCGCTCGGGTCTGGAAATCATCGTCGTTTGTGAGAAGAGCAATGTCCTTGAGGGCCTCGACAAACGTAGGACGTCGTTTCTCACACAGGGCCGACTGACGAGTATAAGCAAAAAAGATGAGTGCCTTGTCGAAATCTGGAAGCACTCCAAGAACCCGATGCGCTTCGGTTGCCGTTTGTGCAATCTTGTTCTGGGGGTAGTCAAGACATTGTAGCTCTTTGAAGAGCCTGTTGCCGACATAAGGCCTATTTTCGCCAGTCTTCCCGCCTCTTATTATGACACTCTCTGTCTCGGCCTGCATATCCTCAACGAATGCCCGCAATGCGCTAAGTTCCGTTGGTATGCCGGGAGTGCCAGGTTCGAGAGTAGGCGGGATGAAGTAAGGCTCAAGAACTCCGTCCTTGTCGAGGTTTTCCTCTGTGAACATGATGGCTCTAAAAATGACATAGCATTCTTCGCCAAACACGACCTGGAAGCGCTTATTACGCTGAGATATGTTGCGTGGGTTGGGCCTGTCCAGCAAGTCTCTGAGATAGGTGTTCAGGGTGACTGGAGCGCTTGTGCACCAATCGTCTCTTGCGTCCGCGAATCGATCCGGCGACTGCTTCCTGGCTTTCGCCAGATTGTCCAGAATGCGCTGCTCATTAAGAAGGAGGTGTAGCCACTCGCGCTTGAGCCGAGGCCGTGATATTTCAACTGTAACTTGCAGCGTGCAGCGAGGAGCGGAGCAGGCGAAGTGCTCAACGGCGAGTATAGTCTCACGGATGAGAGGATGATAGTTTGATGTCGACTTAGTTGGTCGAACCGGCTGCTTGATGTTGACGAGATGATGGAGGTAGAAATCTGTGTCTTTGGGAGGAAAATGGAGAGCGTTAGGGCGACACAGACAGACAAGCTGATCTGGATCCCAACAAGTCCTGATCAAGAAGTGGAAGTCGCAGATCGCGCAGACACAAGACAGCACGCCAGGGTTGCGAGTATCTGATGTGCTCTGGTTGCCCACGAGGACGAGTCGATGCGGCACTCCTGCTTTGCTGCAGCGCGCCTGCTGGTCCCATTCGATTCTGGCGAATGATCCGGAATCAAGGTCAGAGTTGAGCAAGTCTTGGATCCACCTGGGGGCGAGGCGTCCTAGAGAAAGGTAAGCGTTTGATATCAACAGTCAACAGGACAAATGTGGGCTGGCCATAGTGCCGTTAAAACCAGAAACACAATCCGTGCTCATTTGGAATACTCAACGTACCAGTCTTTCCTACCATGTTCTCTTTGACCGGCGCAGGGCTGCCTTCCCAGTGCTGCGTAGTCGGTGAATCGCTTGGTGACATGATGGAGTAATGGTCCGTGATGGCCATGCTTTAATGCCTCTTTTGTATGGTACGCTCAATGATGAACTAGAAGCTCGCGGTAGCAACCCGACTGGACGCTACAGTGTAGGTAGACGGGTCGATCGATGCCGCACATACGAATCCCGACTCGTCATCAGCTTCCCGTGCAAGAGCTCAAGTCACAGGCTGGTGGTCGTATACGAATATGTATGGTTTCGATGTAAGTGCTTGGCCAAATAAACAGCCGAACGTAGCCAGTAGTGCTTCGAGTGGATCGGCGGGCGGTCGTAATTACTTTTTGTCCCTCTGCTGATATATGACCGTCAAAGACTATCGCAGCCGTCGGCAGGAATCTCTATGCTCGTATCGGAGATGTGCAGCTCGATGTATGTTCGGCGGAGAATCGCTCGGTCACGAACGACAGGGTAGGATTCGTTAGACGCGGGGCACTGAACAAGTGTTAGTCCAGGAAAGCGAGACCAGGTTGTATTGAGAGAGGAGACGAACAGCGAAGCGGCTTCTTTTGTCGTGGCTGGTTGGTTTGGCTTTGTAGCCGGGAGTGTTTGTCGTGCCGACCTCAGACGGAGGCCACGCCTAAATCGTGCGGTCGGTATGCATGCGGGGGAGAGTGGCAGAAACAGCGACGTCGTGAAGAATGCAAGCAGAGCTCGGGGTATCTAAATGCATGTGTAAACAGATAAGAAGACTGTAGACCCTAAGAAAAGACGACGACGTGAAAAGTGTCCGAAAAAGAGGATGGTAAACAATTACGCAGCTTCAATGCGTCAAGGACAGGGACGGACGTACGGGCAAGAGCTACCTCATGCAACCTAAAGGTGGGCAGGCAGTATGGTGTGTGGCGGGGATCGAGACGTAGACAGGCTGACGCAGCCGGTAGCCTCGCACTAAGCTGTTGCAGTTGAAGGAGCTTAGGTCACCTGGAAGGTACTTTGCCAGCGAGAGGAAGCTTCCCCAGTGAGGTACCTAAGGTGCTTAGGTATGTAGCCGCTAACTTCGTCACCGCCTGCCGAGTTCTTTCAGGTTGACCCCCGGCTCGGCATGGGGCGATTAAGGCACGGCGCCTGTGGCTAGAATCACATGGAATGCAGGGATATGGCTTCCATCAACCGTCGTCGGAATTAAGATCAGGTGACCTGGGAAGTGAATCTGGGCTGGGTAGAAACGAGCTGAGTCATCAAGCAAAATGCAGCACCTGATTCTTCTTCCGAAGAGCAATCAAGGTACCTACTTCACCTTACCGAAAAATTGGGTACAATGAATGCGTGTATATTCCGTTAGACTCAATCATCTCAGACTGGACTGCGTGATGTAAGGTGAAGATTGGCTATTCAATTTCGATACACAAGTTACTTCCAAGTGTTTTATGAGCCAAAGCCAAAGACAGGAAAACGTCTCACCGAGCGCATACACAGTTGACCTTTGCGCATAGTCTGATTGGCTCCACACCGGGATAGCACGTGACTGAGACAGAGGTGGAGCACCTGTCGTGGAGCTTCAACCTGACCTCAAACTTCCGCAACATCCCTCACCAACTTCTTTTCCAATTGAGTGTCTGGCCCGCGACTCCGAACCACCCCGCAACCATGGCCGGCGACCACGATACGTACCACTCCAAGGACGCCATCAAGGCGGCCATCTCCTCCTCTGCCGCTCTCGGTGGTGCCGGCTTTTTCATTGCCGCTGTCCACAATGCCCTCCAGAAGCAGAATGTTGGCGCCATGTCCGTCTTCACCCGCAGCGGCGGCATCATCGCCGTGATGGGTACGTTGCCCAATTGCCTTTCGCCAAGTCCAATTGAGAAGGCCTCGATGCTAACGAATCTTTGCAGCGATTGGTGGCGGCGCATACGGCTTCACCAAGTCGGCGATGGCCAATCTGAGAGAAAAGGACGACCCGTGGAATACCGCGACTGCCGGCTTCATTTCTGGTTCAATCCTCGGAATGACAAGTATGGATACAACCCCCGAGTCTGAAAAGACGCAATCGAGACAGGATACTTACAAGTCGCGCCTCACACAGCCAGAAGAATGCCCGTTGTGCTTGGCCTGGGTGCTGCCTTCGGCGCATGGCAAGGAGTCTTCGAGGTCACCGGCGGACGCCTTAGAGGATGGAACACGGCCGAAGTTGACGAAGCCGATTTCGAGGGCAAGGTTGCTCAGCGCGCGGCCAAGAGGCGCCCGATCGAGGAGACGATTGCAGAGCTTGGCGAGGGCCGTGGTATGTTCACATTTTGGAGTACGGGGCTTGATATCCCACGGAGGGCTGACGCGTTACAGGTATCCGGCCGCCGGGCTACGAGGAGCGGAGACGTGAGCGGCTCAAGGAGAAGTACGGTGTTGAGATCAACCCCGTTAAGGCAACTGTCGAGTAAAACAAAGTCAAACGAAACATCAAGACCATCACCACAACCACCAATCCACCACCCAGCCCAGCGAGGCATGCTCTTTTATTTCCCGTTGCTTGTACATATACACAGCCTGCGAAACACGTGGGCACATGAAGAGGAGTCTCATCGGCTAGAGGAAATGGAGAATTGTACTATTTTTTTCTCATGCTCTCTGAGCTTCCGCGTGATGTGTGCCTGTCTCCAATGACGCACCGCCGACTGCGTCTCAACAATGGTACGTTCTTGCATAATGCTGGCATTTGTCAACTTCAATGATGATACAATAGCTTCAGAGGCTGTTTATGAATTATTTATGATTCGACCAATCACCGGTCTATCATTTGTCTGATTTTGAGTTTAATTCTTTGCGAACTTTTGCATCTTGATGTCGTCGACATGCACTAACAGGGAGTCGGCTTCTAGCAGCAGCAGCAAACAGCGCCAAGTCTTTCGTCATTACCGCCGCAACCTCGCCTACTGATGGTAAGTCATATCGTTCGTCCCTTTCCCTTGCTATTGATGATACAATAGCTTCAGAGGCTGTTTATGAAATCATTTCATGATTCGACCCATCACCGTTCTATCATTTGTCTGACTAGGCTTTCAATACTCATTTTCGTGTATTCCATTGTATATAACCGAAACTAACATCCTAATCAAGACCTGACGTCAGTGTGCCACGCTGAGCCTCTAAACCATACCATCGATATATGCTAAAGTGAGTCTTGGGAAGTTCTTTGTCTCTACCCCCATCTCTCTTGATGATACTCAAGCTTCAGAGGCTGTTTATGATCTATATGATTCAACACATCACCGTTCTATCTTTTTGTCTGATTTTCGATTCAAACTTTTAATTATCTACATATGCCTGCTTTTCACAAATACTGACGTAGTTTTCAGGCTAGCATAATCTCAAATTCGGATCCAGCCCAAGTTAATGTTTTCAGAGTAAGTCCAGCTTTTGTTTTGATTCACTTCACACTTTCTGTATGATGATACACTAGCTTCAGAGGCTGTTTATGATCTTCATGATTAGACCCATCACCGTTCTATCATTTGTCTGATTACACTCCAATCTTCCCCATCAATCTTGCATAGTTGTCGGTCTGTCAACTTGTACTAACGGCAATGCCTAGGCACTCGAATGCTAGAAAATTGCAGAAAGTCTCTGGAGTTGCAAGAGAAAAGCGGAGAACAGAAGCCATTGAAGGGCGCTAGATGCTCCACCAGATCTAGATGAAGACTCTTTCACTTTTCAGATTAAGGAATCAGGGCGCAATATCCCGCGATGGTATGGACAGACTTTGCTTGCATTGGACGCCGTAAAAGACAGCAGACACAAGGGTTCTCGTCCCTGACTTTGGTAAGTTCTGAAATCTCTCTCGTTAGCCCATTTCTTCAACATGATGAATCACTAGCTTCAGAGGCTGTTTATGAATTATTTCATGATTCGACCCATCACCGTTCTATCATTTTTCTGATCCTTCTCAAACCATAACTTATTGACTTTCTGTATTCGTCGAGGTCCGACATCGGCTAACCACCCTTCGGACAGGACCTATCTGGGTCAAAGGGCTTTTGTCCAGATGAAAATGTTCTCACAGTCGCGACGACGCGACGTTGAAGTCTTGGTAAGCACTCTTCCCACAACTCACGTCAACCAATCAACCCCGCACTACATGATGAGACTCAGCTTCAGAGGCTGTTTATGATTACAATCAACATGATTCGAAACATCACCGTTCTATCACTTTCTGACACCCGTTGCAACGCTACATCCTTGCCCACATTCACACATCATTGGTACATAAGTTGCAGGCGGCTAACTTCGTTGCCAGATCTTTTACAGCAGCGCTTTCCGACATGTTCCGAGTCAATCATGATGAACGTCCTTTTTCATTGGTGCTCATCTATAGCAGTTCCACGGCGATGTGCAACCTTGATTCATGGTACGTTGATCAGTTCTACTCTGCCCCTCCGACATCTCTTCCCTGTTACTATGATGATATCCAGCTTCAGAGGCTGTTTATGAATGTTTTTTGTGATTCAAACTTTTACCGTTCTATCATTTGTCTGATTCGTTTCCTCGACGACACTGCTATATTGATACCGTCACTGGTTGCGCTGCACAAGGTACTAACAAGCTCAAGTCTCTAGACATACCTTCCTCTCTACTATCGCACTCTTAACATCATCGCGGAGACACCTATTGTTGTTGTTTTTTACGTGCCTTCCATTGTAGCTTCACCGTCCCTAGTAAATGCCATTCTTTTCAGAAGCTAGCATTTTGATCGTAATATTGTACACCAGTGACCTAGACCCCCAACGCCTTGCGCAAACTTATCAAATCACGGCAGCCATCACAGGAGCTGCCCTCACAAAGTCTTGACAGACTGGAAAAAGGGGTTCGCAAGCAGCTTCTCGTCCGCCATGACGAGCCCCTTGAGCTTGGAGACCATCTCTTCCTTACTCATCTGCCCAGCGGCAACCTCCTCCTTCCACTTGAGCAGCACCTCCTTGAGCAGCGCACTGCCCTCCTCGATATCCGTCTTGCTGTACTTGAGCCCCAGGTCCTCGTGCTTGGACGTAAAGTCCTCCAGCTCGTCAGCCTTGCGCTTCGCCATCCGCACGACCTTGTCGGGGAACCGGACCAGCTCTGCCACGTGAATGCCGAAGCTCTGGTCGCATACACCATCATCGACCTTGTACAACAATGTCACCTCACGCTTGCTGTTCTCGCCGCCGCCGCCGCCGCCAATGTGCGCGGTGACGTGCAGGTTGTGCACCTGCGGATGGTCGTCCGCCAGGGCCGTCAGCTCGTGGAAGTGCGTCGCGAACATTGCGAAGCAGCCAATCTCCTTGACAATATGTTCAGAAATGGCCCACGCGAGACCGAAGCCGTCGTACGTTGATGTGCCGCGACCAAGCTCGTCAATGATGATGAGCGATTCGGCCGTTGCCGATTTGAGAATGTTTGCCGTCTCGAGCATTTCCGCCATGAAGGTGGACACGCCCTTGAGTTGGGAGTCGCTGGCACCAACACGCGCCAGGATAGAGTCGAAGATGGTTAGCTCGGCCTCGCTGCAGGGGACGAAGCAGCCAATCTGGGCCATGAGGGCGATGACGCCGATCTGGCGGATGTATGTCGACTTTCCGCCCATGTTGGGGCCAGTGATGATGAGGAATGAAGACTTGTCGCGAGTCAAAGTGACGTCGTTCGTGATGAACTGTACGTCGTCTTGCATTTCCAGACACGGGTGTCGAGCCTCCTTCAGGATTGTCTGGCCTTCGCCCCGCTTGTGAATCTTGGGTCGGACGTATTCCGAAGGTGCATGGACTGAGCAGTGTGCGAGGGAAACGATGACGTCCAAGTGTGCCAGGACACCAGCAAGTCTCTCCAGGACTGGGCAGTACGAAGCGGCTACGCCAACAACCTCGTTGACCAGACTGCTCTGGGTTCTGTTGTAGTTCTGCGACAGCTGGTCGAACTCGCGGCGAAGACTTTGCAGGGTCTTCGTTGTGAAGTAGACACCATTCTTCTGTGTTGAACATTCCTGGTATCCTGACTTGTTGCGGATCGCACCGGCTTCCTGTCTCGTGAGTCTCATGCAGTAGCCGTGGACCTTATGGTTTTCGAGAAAGATCTTCTTGCCGACTTCCTGCTTCAAGTCGCGCGCGGCATCCGAGAATTGTTGATCAATATCCCTCTTGAGCTTATCGAGCTTCTTCCTGATAATTCTCAAGCTGTCATCGAACTCTGGCTTGATGATGTACTCGTGGTTGTCGAGCGCATCCAAGTCGACCGTGGTTTCCACCATCTCCGAGAGCTTTGCAAGACTATTAGAAAGCTCACGAAGAGGGGTTGTGTAGGCTTCATCGAGAGGATCTCTGTAGGCTTCGTCCATGACACCCTCCAGGGTTCCCAGGAACCCGGGGAGACGGATGATGACCTGGTACGCACGAACAACGTCCTCGAGGTTTGCCTTGCCCCTTTGGAATCGCTTGGCAAGGCGGTATAGATCCGGGACTGAGCGAAGGTGCTCCTCTTGCATAGTCTGCCGCAGCTCAGTGTCGTTGACGAATGCCTCAACGAGCTGTTGGCGCTTCTCGATTTCCTCCTTGCTCATAAGGGGTTGCTTGAGCCATTGCGACAGCAATCTGCTACCGACAGGTGTCTTGCAGTGATTCAGCAGACCGTACAAACTCATAGACTTGGCACCGTCGCGGGCGCCAGGCATCAAGTTGAGAGCCTTGAGCGCCGCTGCATCCAGCTTCATGAACTGTGAGAGGTCATGCTGGTACAGCTGGTACTGCCCAAAGTTGGACGAATCGTGGAGAACGCCGAGGTACTTGATAAGAGCCGCGGCTGATCCCATGGCCAACTTGAGGTCGGTTTGTGGGAGGAGAGTGGTGGCGCGTTCGTCCTTCAAAAGACGTGCCAGGTCCTGCTCGATATCCTTGGTGCCGAATTCGCCAGCAGACCGCTCCGAGACGGCTACGCCACAGTTGACGATGATCTGCTTCAGTTTCGCCAGATCGGGATCCTTATTCTTATCGGCCTTGTCTGTCTGAACAAGACACTCTCTGACACCGAGCTGGATGAGAAGGGCCTCGAAGTTGGAGAAGAGATCGTTGTCGAGGAACTCGCTGACACCCAGTTCTCGCACACTGGCATCGGCGAAGCAAACACCCACACTCCGGGCCTCCGAGGCTTTTGTTGAGATCTTGACTGCAAGCATCATCGGTGCTGCCTCAATCTGGCCACCCAGGTCCTCCTCCACGTCCTGCAGGTTGCCAGGCGAAGCTTGCTTGACAACCTTCCAGTTCATGCGGCCGCCGGTGCTCTCCCATATCTCAATTCTCTTGCCCAGCTTGAACAGTGCTTCTCGAAGGAATTGTCGAAATACTGTGACAGTCATTGTCACTGAGGCGAGCCCCGTCTTCTCATCACGGCCGAGTGTCCTTACGACGGATGTTGTCTTGTAGACCTGGGAATTGTCAGTCCGCTCAGCTCTTAATAGTCAGTAGGTCATGTAGGACCAGACGTACTGTGCGGGCAATGAAGTTGGCATCTTCGCCATGTGATGTGTACCAGTCGCCTCGGTCGAATATGCGGACTGTATCTTCATGGACGGCCGGGAGCGACTTGAAGAAGCGAATGAAGCCGTGTTCATCGTCGACCTAACATCATGACGTATTAGCCAATGTTTAGTCGACATTGATTGGGAAACGAACCTTCAATTCCGGCCGGGAAGACATGGTGAGCAGGATATCGTAAAGGATTGAATAGCGAAAGAGAAACGGAAAGCAAAATCAAGTTGAACGGTGTAGGTGGTGTAACCAGTGCGTGACACCCAGCGTGCAGTGCTTCTCCCGAGTGAAAGAAGTTAAAGTGGTTTCCTGGTGTGACGCGTCCGGAAATCTATCTGGTGCGAGACGCGACGCGATGGCGCTAGTTCAAATTTGGTGCCAAAAGTGCTGACCGCCCTTGAATCTGCCGGTACTGGCAATAACTAGGTAGCCATCTAAGACCACGAATGCCATTTAGCGAGCTTACCTACGGCTCAAAATTTCAAACTCATTAGTTCAGAGTTGACACTTACCAGAAGTCTGCTCATTTTCACAACAAAACGCCGTTCTAGGTAACTAGCTATACTCAAATTTGGTAATCTACGCATCAAGACTTTGGCTCCGGGTACTGAACAAGGCTTTCTTGACAGTTGATCTCACGCCTTACCAAATATAACACGCTCTCATAGAACTGTCTGCTCATCCTTCATCCAATCCAGCCCCGCGTTAATGCTGTTCAGATCACTGCAGCTCAGAACGCGAGCTCTCTGTCGCGCCGGCGCAGCTGCAAGGGAAAGCTGTACAGCTCCAACAATTGCCCCGCATTGCGCCCCAAACAGTTTAGCGTGTTTCTCCAACCTTTCTGCGCACCACCAGCCGGGCAACGCTCATCGCAGGCGGTCGTCACCAAAATTTCGCAAAAATCCCCCACTTCGCTACCTTAACTCTGCATCGACGTCCAGCTCGACCACCGCAACAATGGACACATCCGCAGCAGAACCCGTCAATCAGCCAGCAAAGGACTTCGAGATGTCCGAGGCCGTTCCAGAAACCACCGCCACCGCATCTTCGGCTGCCAATGGCGACGTCGCAGAGGGTGCAGCAGCAGCACCACCACCACCATCAACCACCACGGCCAGCGCTGCGGTAGAAGGAGGAGCGCAAGCCGCCGAGGAAAAGGAAGGCGAGGAAGCCGACGTGGAATCTGCCGGTCCAGCCGCAGAGGGTGAGGAAGCTACCTCCGAAGAACCCAAAATCTCAAAGAACCAGCTCCGCAAGATGAAGCGCAAAGCCGCGTGGGAAGACGGCCGCGAAGACCGCAAGCGCAAACGCAAGGACAAGCGCCACGACAGACAAGTCGCCCGCCGTGAAGAGCTCGCCGCCGCCATGGCCGAAGCCGAGTCGAAAGGCATCGACCCGTCCACCGTCACCATCCCGCCGCGCCGCAAGGTGCCCCGCGTGCCACCGACGCAGGTGCCCATCACTCTGATCCTCGACTGCGCGTTCGAAAAGTACATGCTCGAAAAGGAGCAGGTCTCGCTCGCGAGCCAGATCACCCGGTCCTACTCGGACAACCGCCAGTCGCGGTACCGCGCGCACCTGTACGTCAGCTCGTACGGGGGCCAGCTCAAGGAGCGGTTCGAGGGTACGCTGGGCAGCCAGCACGTGCACTGGAAGGGCGTGAAGCTCGTCGAGGGCGACTTTGTCGCGGCGGCCAAGGACGCGGACGAGTTGATGAGGGGACCACGCGGCGGCAAGATCATTGACGTGCTGAACCCCACCGAGGAAGACGGCACACCCGCGAAGAAGCCCGCCGTCTTTAGAGACGTCATCCACGACTCACCGAACCCGGATCCCGAACCCGAACCCGCGGACGAGCTCAAGAACATCGTCTACCTCTCCTCCGACTCCGTCAACACCCTCGATCGCCTCGAGCCTAACACGAGCTACGTCATTGGCGGCCTCGTGGACAGGAACAGGGAAAAGGGCCTGTGCCACCGCCGCGCGCGCGAGATGGGCATCCGGACGGCCAAGTTGCCCATTGGGGAATACATGAACCTGTCGAGTCGGAGGGTCCTCGCGACGAATCACGTTGTGGAGATTATGCTCAACTGGCTCGAGACGGGCAGCTGGGCCGAGGCGTTCCTCAAGATCATCCCCAAGCGCAAGGAGGCGAAACTGAAGGAGGAAGGCGCGGGCAGTGCCAGTGGGACGCCGGCTGCTCAAGACGAAGGCGAGGGCGATAGTGTCGAGGATAGCAGATTGGAGGAAGAGAATGACGAGGATGTGGATGAGAACCAGACCATCACGGAGACCGTGGCGGCACCTGTATCAACAGAGGCGGCTCAGGAGAGCGTCAAGACGGAAGTAAGCACATCATAGCCAGGCATGGCAGGCGATTGAAGAGTTGATAGAATACCCCCTCCCTTTGCCGTTTGGAATCAAAAAGACAAAATCGAACCACAAACACCGACCCATTAGCCAAAGACCACCCCATCATACAAGATTCATGTCGATTTGCTTTCAAAATTCCATGCTGTCCTCCTCCCTCTCCCTCTTGACCTTAACGTCCCTCTCATCTTTCATCAAGCCAATGACAAACGACCGGAACTGTTCCACGTACGGCTTCAAGCTCGTCTTCTCCCAATCCTGTACGCTCTTCTGCTGCGACCCGCCCCCCTCGGCGTCCTCGTCGCCGCCCTTCCACGCGTCAATCTCTGCCAGCAGGCTTTGTACCGTCGGCACGGCCAGCGGGTCAAAGTCCTCGAGCCTCTTGGTGTCGATTGGCACGCACACCCTGCCAGTGCCGGGGTGGACGACAAAGGGCGACTTGAGCAAATGGTTCAGCTTCTTGCTGACCTCGATATCGAGGCGCGGGTACGTGTACTCGAGCACAATATCCTGCTTGGCCTCGAGCAGCGCCTTGGCGTCGAGCTTCTTGCTCGCGCCGCTCTTGGCTACGGTGTCAATGTCGGCCCACTTGGCAATGGATGACCGACCCGGCGCCGCGTCCCACTTCCTGCGAAGAGATTCGTTGAGGTCCTTGTCCGGGAGGAGCTGGAGCAGACGCTCCGCGCGCTCGTTGGAGGCCCAAGGGTCTTGCGCCTCGAGGACGTCTTCTTGAAAGTGTGACTTGAGAGTTTCCAAACTCCGTCTGCGGCCATGTTAGTCATTCTCTTGCCTTGCCTAGTAGCAGAAACACCACTTACGAAACGTGAGGATGCAACGGCCGCCACAGGTTGACCTTCTTCCCGCTTTGCGCGCCACCCTTGAGAACCTCCAAGTACCCCGCGATAGATCTACGCATCTGGTCGCCCATCGTCCGCGCTTTCTTGTCGCACACCCACGCGTGGGCACCTCTTCGTCCAGAGTACACCCACATAATGTGCTTGAATCCAAAGTCATCCCGCAGCGCAACGTCCACGACCTTGATCGCCATCGTGATGAACTGCCAGCACTTGTTGCAAATGTTGGCCTTGTCGCAGCACGTTCTGATGTCATCGTAATCTGTCAAATCAATATCGAAGCACAGCTCCTTGGCGAGGGGCTTGAATGCGCTAGCGTTGCGGAGGGTCTTGCGGTCGCGCGGGTTCGTGGTGTAGACAGGGCCGATTTCGAAACGGGAGGGCATGAGGCGAAGAACGTCTTTACGCAGGCTAGGGCGTGGGCGGTTAGTTGCTGCCGTACTCCGAGCAGGCGGGAATAGGATGGTCGCAGTAGACTCACAGATCGTGGCTTGCAAAGGACTGGTATCGTAGGTATGCATCGTTCTGCAGCGTGAAAGCGAATTCTCTATGGCCAAAGTCGTTGGTCGGTGATGGGCTGTGGTTCAGCCATTGGAAGAGGTATCTCCAAGGAAACAAGCGCTGGTAAAAACTGCGCATCACCTCGGGATCTGAAGCCTTGAGGTCTGCGACATCTCTGCACCTGGTATCAGCAATTGCCCCTCCATTACATCTTGGGCAACCCACGTTGCAGAAGGGGGTGTCAGGACCCCATCGGGACTCGATGAGGGAGCGTCTTGTAGTCTTGAGCTGGGAAACTCGTCGTCTGAGTCGGCGTCTGCAAAGAGGTCGTCCAGCTTGACCTCGCTCTTCTCTTCGGCGGCCGGCGCAGGCGCCTCGGCCTCCTCCATCGCTACGTCGCCGTCCGTTACCTGGGTGACATCTTCAGGAACGGTGGAATCGACCATTGCGTTGTCGGTAATGCCGGTGGTGTTGGGAGGTGAGTTTGCTTCTGGTGACACGGAATGAGGCATCGCTATGTCTGTGAGGGTCATTGAAGGTGACAACTTCATGTATCGCTCTGCTAGTATCGGTCACTTTGTCTTGGTGGGCAATTTGCCGGGGCAACTTTGCGGGCGGGCGTTGCTGGACAGGGGCGCGTCGGGGGCGCGTTTTCTCGCGTAAAGAGCTGGGATGGGGCCCGTCCCCTGTTAAGTGGCTTAGTCATTAGCGGAACGATCAAGACTTCACCTCCTTCCTTCCGTCTACTCTACTAACTCTACCTTGCCCAGGTAATCAATGCCAGCATTCTTGACATTTCGAGTCAAATTCACTTGTCGTCTTGAATCTCCAGGAAGAAACATGATTCTTTAATTTGAGGTGGGGCCCGATATTTGACCGACAACTTCGACGCAGTTCACCGTGGCCAACCACATTCATATTGAAAGGAGAGGGCCTCTATCTTGAGCGTAGCCATCCACGATTCGTCTCATTTCACTGATATGTGTACCGATCTCAATGTCTACATTTAAGTCAACCTCAACGCCACATTATACCTTAGGTAGTGTACCCCAAAGCAAAATCAAAAATGAGATTTATATACGCAAAAGGAAAAGGATGGGGATAGAGGTCGGTGATCATTTACTCGTTTCTTCACGCCCCTGCCCAGATTCGAACAGCGCGCCCCTCATGCCAGCATGACTTCATTGTGGTATTTGTTTTAGCTTCTCTGCTTCAGAGTGTAAAACACCCGGCCAACTGGCCGGATGGGTGCTGGTGACAGGAACGGTGTTGAGGAGGTATATATAAGGCAACGTCGTCTCGAATACAATGGCAGGCGCGTCTGGAGACCTAAGCATAGTCGCCTGGAAAGCCCCTGCTCTTTTCTCGTCAGCACTTTTTCCCAAGGCTTTTCCAAAACCAAGAGCGTCAACAATTCCAGACCTTCGTTTTTGACTACCATCA